AGCACCCCAGCTGCTCTGCCCCAGGCGTCCCCAAGTCAGCTTCTGCTGAAACTGACCAGCGCTGACTACAGGAAGCCCCAGGCAGAGTTGCTCTGCCCTGGGCTTCCTGGAATCAGCTGCTGATCAGTTTCAGCAGCAGCTGACTTGGGGACGCCTGGGGTTCTTAAGTTGATTCTGTATGTAAGTCAGAACTGGCGGTCAGTTTCAGCAGTGTCTGAATCTGGACGCCAGTTCCGACTTACATACAGATTCAACTTAAGAACAAACCTACAGTCCCTATCTTGTACGTAACCCGGGGACTGCCTGTACAGCAATAATACAGTGATACAGCAATAATACAGTTGGTTTTACACAACATCCAATTTTAACTAACAGTAATTTCTAGCTGATTGCCAACTTAATTGTCCATCTATGGTAGATTGAGGTGTATTTGACCAGTCTCTTTTATATAAAGCATTTCTTTTCCTTTCCTAATGCTTGGGCATTTCTTTTCTGTACTGTATACTGTTATCTTCCAGTGTCTTTGTGGTGTGATATCTTCTCCGTGGGAAATAAACTTAAACAGCTTACGTTAATTAATATAATAAAATGTTTTTTTGTTTGGATGTTTTACATTTCTCTTGTTTTTAGTAACTTAATGCACAGATTAATTTAGTTTGCTTATAATGTAATAGAAGCCAAGTCTTTTACAATACAAGTTATACTTCTGCAATTATTGCATAGATATTGATTTTCACTTGAGGTATACCAAACATAATGCTTACAGTCTTCCATGTGAAGATGTGTTGCTTTCCCTTGCTGAACACTATCTGAGCAAAAGAGTTGGAACATAACTTTTACCAAGCTTTTCAGAGTTAATTTGCTTCTGATACAATTTCACTTCGGTTAACTGTTTAGAAGCACAAATGCTAACAACTACTTCCCTTTGACATAATGTAACGAAGTGTATAAAATTAAACTAAGTATAAAGTTAGACCAAAATAGAAACATAGGTTTATGCAAGCTTTCTTGATGCTTTGTTGTGCTTTGGAGTCCAAGATAGAAACCTGTTGAAATTGTTTGGTTAACTTTATGCATAAATGTTTTTTTTAACATTATTGCTATGCCATTCCTAAAACTAGATTTAAAAGAAAAAAAACCCCAAGTTTATAAAAATCCAAAGAAGAAATTGGAATTGTGTTAATATTATCTTAACCTTAATTATGAGGTGTCCTTTATGTTTTCTTATTAAAAATGGTGCCAGTCCAGGTTTATTGGTAAACGAAGTACAGGCAGTCCCCAGGTTACGTACAAGGTAGGGACTATAGGTTTGTCCTTAAGTTGAATTTGTATGTAAGTCGGAACTGTCTCCAGATTCAGCCGCTGCTGCTGAAACTGACCAGGGGCTGACTACAGGAAGCTGGAGGCAGAATTGCTCTGCCCCCAGCTTCCTGGAATCAGCCACTGATCAGTTTCAA